TGTTCCCTGCCGTAAGCTGTATGCTCTTAGTATTGCCTCAGGCCTCTCTTTGTGTTTTTCTTCTGTTTTGCTTCTTTCTTTCTTGTTCTCCATGCCCTCTCTACGATGATCTTGGACGATACCTCGAGCTCCTTGTTATTTTTGTTTTTTCCTTTGCTGGCTGCCTGCCACCTCTGCTGCCTCTTTGGTGCGGTGCCTACCCTACACTAATGCGCTGGTGCATGCTGCACTGCTGTAGTACCTGGTACTGGTGTACGTTGTCCTTCGATTTTTGATTTTTTTGTGGGAATATATATGTGTTTGTTTTTCGCCCCCCGTCTTGCTGCACCCCCTGGGGTGTGATGCAGGGCGGGGGATGCCTGGTCGGCGGGAACCCGGCACGGAACCCTCCGGCGTTGTAGGCGGGTGTGGGAAGCGTTCCGCGTTCTCCTTTTATTTTATTTTGATCGGTCTCCTCGACGCTCTTTCTCGTTTGGTGCGGTAGCTGGTCTTTCTATCATTTTGTTTCTCTTCCGAGTGGTTATTGTACCCTATTTTTTTCTGTTTCTTCGTGGGGTCGTGTATGCCGGGTTTTGAGACCACGGGCTCCCAATCTTTCTTTTTTAGAGCTAATGTGAGAAACAACAACAACTACATGGGAGTCGTATTTGCTATCTACCGCTTGGGGATGTTGCTTGCACCCGAGTACATGCGGAAATATTCCGCGTCGTACATGCTCTGTCAAGGCTACCTGACGCCTGGGGCTTGTACCTGCTGCTGTCGAGACCCGACAGGCTTTCGTGGTGCGTAATCTGCTGCAGCGCGCGAGAAAGAGGCAGCCTTCGTGTTTATCTATGGGCGAATTACACTCCAACCGCCGCCGGTATGCAAGCGAAACGGAATTGCAGCCGTAGACTACTGCTTCATGTACAATGTACGCGTACGTGTCTGGTGTCATCATGATCATCATCAGCAGCAGCAGCCCATTGACTGCTCGAGGTTACAGGCCTCACCTTCTCTGTCACCGTGTGCCCCGGGAGGTGCACTATCTCGTTCGGGTGCCTACGCAGCTCGCCTGCAGCTGCCGCTGCTGCGATAAGCGTCGCTGCTGCTGCTGCGCACAACATCATTCACGTCGTCGCCACGATGGTTGTGACTGACTGTTGTGCTTCCTTCGTCGGAACTCCGCGTCTTTTACCGATCGCTGCTTGACCGCCACACTCGACTGCCCGCCTCCGTCTGTCGCTGCTACGACCAGATAGATAGACAGAACGAACGGGTGTGAAACGTAATACGTTACTGCTGGCTGGTTCGTTGTGCGTGTGCGACCAGCAGACCAAAGCGCTGGCCTGTGTCGTGCTGTGTGGGGGAGAGCAGCACAGCAGCATATTTGGGGCCAGGCAGCTGAAAATTTACATAAGAGGGGGGATTGTAATTTAATGCTGCTCGCATCCTTGTGTGTGTCAAGCAGCTATATAATAGTGTCAAGGTGTTCTGTCTTCGGAACACGTGTGCATACTCAGGGCATCGGTGTCAGAAACCAACACCACCACAGGAAGCGAGAGACGGCATGGCTCGTGGCGGTGGCTTCTCGAAGCCGCAGCGGTCTACGAGCATGAGGCTAGGCGACGGAAGCGGCAAAGGATCATCCCAAGCGGTGAGATGAGACATGACATGAGGCAGCAGCAGGCTCAATGCTAGGCCTTTGATCGTGGCAACGCAGCATTTTATCTACCGAACGCGTTGTTTTGGACGACGGAGCCATAAGTAGCAGGGGAATTGGTGGCGTACGTGAGCGGTGTCTTGTGCCCCAGATGAGCTGCGACAAGGCTTGTGCTCGCTCCCCGTTACGGTTGATGTTGTGATGCGTGTTGTTGGGCCAGAGATGAAAGGACACCGGCAGCAGACCAGCGTTTTCAAACTCATATGTGTCATGTGGCCCGTGGCAACATGGATGGGCGGCTCACCGTTGGTTTTCTACAGCGAACGTCCTCGTGCAGCGTTGATGTGTCTCGCCCCCCTTCTTTGGCGTCTACACCCACCATTTCCATGGCTGCGAACGCCTATTCTGTTTTTGTCGCACTGCTGTACTGTGTGTTGTACGGCGTCTCTATTCCCCCGCTCCGAATCTTGATCTTTGACAAGGGCCTCTTGCCATGAAGAAGCAGTCTTTCTTCATGTTGACTTACCGTAAAAATGACACGAGATCAAACACCCCCTGGACCGATTTTCAACTCTCGATTTCTCAACAACAGAAAGAGTCACGGCGCCGAAAACGGCGGCGTTGGAACCGACTCGTCGAGAGCTTTCCAAAAATTGTACTCTATCGTTTAGTTTATGCATCCTCTTCGTTGTGGAGTACAGTCGACCCCGCTTTAAGGAAACATATGGTTTTGCTTCGAAAAATGTTTCCATAACGCGGGGAAGTTTCCTTAAACTTCAGGGGATTGGGACGCACCATCCCCGGGGTCAATGGTGGCGGTACATACGTCAAAAGGTGCGCCCTGGGCAGGGCATTGTTGGAATAAAAAAAGAGGCTGGGAGTCGGCGAGAAAATAATTGTTTATTGCTGAACACCACACAGCACGGAAAACACCTGATGGACACTTCAAATTCACCTGGTGACTCTTGTTTACCCCAGGGGGAGCGCACGCAGAAACTCTCCTGCGTTACTCTCTACTGGAGCGCCATTCAGACACAAGCACACAATACGGCGTATGGCCGACAAACCGCAAACACTCAACGCTACGACTTCCTCCACATATCGCGAAGAGTTGCCTGCAGCTCCCTCCCCCTTGGACCTGCGCTTGACTTGTGTTTCATGCGTGCACGAATGCACCGTTTTCGGAATGAGGTGCTGGGTTTCGCGGTATTCGCCATCCTTTACATTAGCGTACAAGTAGGAGCGAACACTCTCTACGCTAGCGCGGACCTGAGCCTCTGTCATCGAAGATGTAATACACGAGGCTGGCCTATCCCCGCCATCTTCGTCGTCAGAAGAGGCATCAACCTCCAAGTTTGCCATGTTCTGCTCCACAATCCCGGTTCCAGAGCTACCTCGTCTTCCAACACGCTGGGGTCATCCTCTAGGGAAAGCCACGTCTTAGTTGCCTTTCGCACTTCTACATCAGCGAGGCCCGAGTTCTTCTCGACAAACAAATTGTCCGTCAACACCCCTGGAATTTTTCTGGCGTCGGTGACGTCGACGCTGTCTGGCATCGACAGCTTCGCGACCAAGTCGCAAATGCCGTCGATGAGTCCCCTTTCGCCCGTGTCCCCCCCCTTGTCCCCCCCCTTGTCCCCCACCTCCCCCCCCTTCCCGTTGTCCTTTCCAGCGACGTGTCCTTCCTCTTGAGGACGTTCTCGTGCTCCTCGGGAAGGATGATGGCCTTGAGCCAGCACCTGACAACAGTCTGGTCCGAGAAACTTTACCACTTCGGGGTAAGGATCTCAGCGACGTCCAGCATTGTCGCCTGGCCTGCATCGCTCAGCCCCCGACATCCCCCGAAAAAGGAGAAGAGCGCAGGGTCGCCGGGGTACAAGGAGGGAAGGAGGGAGCATGTTGTTTTTTTCATGCATGGATGACCGGTAACGGCAGGTTTTTCTATTTGAGTGGGAGCCATCGACCAACGTGTCGACCACCACGATTCTCTTACAAAAACCAGTATCAATGCGTAAACTAACGTCAGACTAGCTCATCTTCCTACTCGGGAATGTTGCGCGCACGAACGGTGTCCCAGTCCTCGATGACGTCCGACAGCTTCACCACCACCTCGGTCTTGTACCGGCACTTGAGGGTGAAGAGGGAACCCATGTCCATCGACTGAAAAACGGACGTTACGAGGGGCGGCAAGAAGGTGATGACGATCTGCGGGTGGATGTTGATGAACTTGTGGCCGGGGCAGTTGCCCCAGATGACGGCCACCTCCCCTCGCGGATTTGCTTTTGACGAACGGGACCAAAACCTCGTCGAACCACCTCTGGCAGAGGGATGCATCGAGCCAGGCGCTGGCCTGGGCGTAGTAGGGCAAGGTGGCTCGCGAACCTTGCGGAAAACCATCGGATTTGCCGCCGTGCCGATGACGGCCAGCGGCACCATCAGCGAGCCGGTTGTATTGCAGCAGGCCACCACGGTGCACCGGTCCTTGGCCTTCGTGGCCTTCGAGCCCCGCTCGGTTTTTTTTGTTGACGCCAGCAGCGTCCTCCTGGCTCGTGACGTACGTGCCTCTCGGGAAATAGCGGTAGAAAAGACCCGTCTCGTCCATGTTGAAGATGAACTCGACGTCAAACTCCTTCAGCTGCTCCCGAATCTGCGCAATCTTCTCCTGCACCTTCCCCTGGTCCACGTCGCCAGCTTCCCCGTGCAGGTTGATGTGCTTCAACTGGTAGCGTTTGAGGAAGCGGTGAAGCCAACCGTTGCTCGCAGCGAACTTGATGCCCATCTCGGACGCGAACTTCACGGCCCGATGTTGGATCATTGTGCCGCTCAGCCCGATGTTTGTTGTCTGCAAAATTGTAGAGAGGGAAGAGCACCGGCAACAGCAGCAAGAATCGGACGTCAGCGGCTGCAGTTGTAGGTGCAAAGGATTTTGAAGGCAGGTCGGTCCCATGATGTGTGGGGACATGAAAGGACTGACGCGATCGAAAATCATACCCAACAAAACGCAAACGGAAATTCTCAAACGAGGGACGTACAACTGATAAGCTGCCCGCCATATCAACANACGCGAACTTCACGGCCCGATGTTGGATCATTGTGCCGCTCAGCCCGATGTTTGTTGTCTGCAAAATTGTAGAGAGGGAAGAGCAACGGGAACAGCAGCAAGAATCGGACGTCAGCGGCTGCAGTTGTAGGTGCAAAGGATTTTGAAGGCAGGTCGGTCCCATGATGTGTGGGGACATGAAAGGACTGACGCGATCGAAAATCATACCCAACAAAACGCAAACGGAAATTCTCAAACGAGGGACGTACAACTGATAAGCTGCCCGCCATATCAACACACAATTTATCCGACCCGGCGTCCAACGTCAGCCCTCACCATGAATCGCTCTCGCGCAATCTTGATCCACTTGAGAACACGCTGTTCCAACTCCGCCTCCACCGGTTCCGGGACGCGGCGGGCCTCCGGGTTGAGCTCCATTTGGACCGCCTTGTTGAGCTTGGCGATGTTGTCGGGCATCATCAGCTTTGTGACGTACCCCTTGCTGACGCCGTGCTTTTACCGCGACCTTTGCCCTGACACCACCATCTTGGACCTCTTTGACGAGCTCGTGCCGCTGCCGTAAGTTGAGCTTGTGTTTGCCAGTGTCCGGCCCGGGGGTTGACGCCTTGCGCTTCTTGGTGGCGGCCGCGGCGGCATTGTCGCCGCCGCCACTCGCCCCACCGCCTCCGCCCGCACGTGCATCGCCTTCACGCTTCTTGCTCCGTGCCGGCTGCTGTGCCGTGCTGCGGTAGGTAGTGGAAACGAAAAGATACAATAATCAGACTCTATGAGGTGGTCACGAATGTAGTTTTGATTGCAGGTGTTAGTAGAACACGTGTGTTTTGCTGGGGCAGCACAGCCCACTATTGCGCAGCAGCGGCACACACGAGTGCACCGGTACATACGAGCGTCTTGTCGTAATCATACACAAGGTAGCCTCGTGTTTGCTCGACAAATTTCTATTTTCTTTGCGCACACACCATCTAACGCAAGAATTTTCGACAATATAAACGAGGAAATGGTTTTTTGTTTTTGCACCAACAACAAAGACCNCAGCAGCGGCACACACGAGTGCACCGGTACATACGAGCGTCTTGTCGTAATCATACACAAGGTAGCCTCGTGTTTGCTCGACAAATTTCTATTTTCTTTGCGCACACACCATCTAACGCAAGAATTTTCGACAATATAAACGAGGAAATGGTTTTTTGTTTTTGCACCAACAACAAAGACCCTCCTGTGATGTGCGAAAAGTATTCCGCGGAGCAGCACGTGCACGCAATATCACAGCAGCACAGACATGTAGTCTACGCGCCAGAGAGAAATGCTGGGAAGGAACAAGTACGATTCCATCCCAGCACGGGCGCCGTCTCGTTGTTTCGCCTTCGATTTTCGTGTGTGTGTGTGTCGTCACACATATGCTACGCATGTTTTTTTTACACATGTCTTTACACATGTCTTTTTTTTGCCGCAGCACAGGGAGTCAAGTTTTTGTACAAAAACAACGCTACACTTTGCCGCGTGTGACGCATGAACCCAAATAGGAACGGAGGGCGGTGCATTGACATGTCCTGGACTGACGGTCAATCAGATTTTGGCCGATGCGTGCACAACTACAGCAAGTAGACGCTCCGCTCTGTACAGCAGCAGCAGCAGTAGATTGCCCCGCTACGCACGACTGCTGTACACCAGTAAGTCACCTGCTTTTCTCCTGCTCGTCGTCATCGTCCACTCCCATGGGACTGCTAGAGCTTCNAGACGCTCCGCTCTGTACAGCAGCAGCAGCAGTAGATTGCCCCGCTACGCACGACTGCTGTACACCAGTAAGTCACCTGCTTTTCTCCTGCTCGTCGTCATCGTCCACTCCCATGGGACTGCTAGAGCTTCCGGTCTTGCTTCCGGGTGCTGTCTTCTGACATTCCGTGCACTCCCTCTGCTGTCCGTAGCCTTGCTTCCCGATGCCGCGACCACAAAACGCGTGCATCCATCGACCGCACGGGCAGGTGTGGATACCCGACACGAGCTTCGTGATCGTGCACGTGGGTTCCCCGCCCCGTTTTAACCCAGGTGCAGAGGACGCACCAGTAGGTGAAACGAATATTTGCATACCGCAGACAGCAGGTGAAGCAGCAGACCTCTCTGCTGGCGAAGAGGGTACGCTGAAAACGTGCTCTAAGGGGGGTCCGCGGACCAGAATATGGACCCCCCCGTATATTTTACATCCTGCGGAGTATTGTGTTTCGGCGAAATTTTAAAAAGTGTTTCCTTTACCCGGGGAGTATCCTTCATTTTGGTTTCCTTAAAGCGGGGTCGACTGTAATTGAGCTTTGAAAATTGGTCCAGGGGGTGTGTTATCTTGTGTCATATACGGTACTACCACAGGTACTACTGTAGTGATGTTGATCGCTTCGGGAGACTAGACACTCGGTTGGTCGTGTGGCAGAAATAGTCCAAGGGAGATACTTCTCGGGAAATCATGGAAATACAAGTGTAGCCTCCGCTGACGCTGTTGGATTCATTGCTTATTTATCTTAGACTCTATTCTTACATAGAGATGGACTCGTTGGGTCATACTAAAAAAAAAAAAAGTGCCGTGGGAACAACCATACATACACACGACGAGAGATACGTAACAGGCACAAGAACGGGCCGGCAATCACACAAATTCGGACTGGGGCTCCGAAATTGGAAGCAGATTTTGAGATAAGAAAGTTTCCTGGAAACTGAGGGCATGCAAATAGTTTTAGATTTAAGCGGCTTCATGTGATTGGCTGAGGGGCACAGTCACCCAAGAAACATCCCCTGTCCCCAGGTACTTCTTTGTGGTGCGCTGCGTGACAGCTGCGCCTCCCCCTGGCACCGCTCTCACTGCTGCCGATGCTGTTGAGTGTGCGTGCATGCAATGCGTGTGCGTGTCTGCGTCGCCCCCTCAACCCCAGCACACGATATCGCACCACACCAGAACGGAGACAGGAAGTAGCTGCACTGGCCGGCAGCCTCTGAACGAAGTGCTGTGTCGCAGTAGTTTCAAGCGTTCGGGACAGGAGGAGGTTTTTTGTTGGGACGGGGGGGGGGCACACCAAGTCAAACTCTCTCTCCATGCTACTGTAGCAGAGAGAACCAGAGAAAAATCTCGCGCGGGGAACGCGCCCGTCTACATCAGGAGGCCACTGTGTGTGCACTTCCTCCTGTCCGTCTGATCCTTTTTGCTATCGGTGCTGCCACGCCCCCACGTCGTCGGTCATTGTCGCCGCGGTTCCGGCGCTGTCCTCTTCCCCCTTGCCTCAACCCGCGTTTTTTTTTTTTTTTT